AGAGAACAGAAGCTCTGGTGTCTCTTCATCTTCATATAAGAACACCAGTTCTATGGGATCAGGGTTTTTATGACCTCATTTAACCGAATTATCTCCCTAAAGGCCCTGTCTCCAAAGACAGTCACATTAGGGGTATAGATTAGGGCTTCAACATATGAATTTTAGGGGAATATATTCTGTCCATAACACTTGCTTTTATCACATTTTTTTTTCTCAGGAACTTCATTTTCTGTCAACCTTATTTCCCTTTTCTGTGTAAGAGTAGAGAAACAGCTTAAGACCGCTCAGTGGTTCTTACCCATTCAGTGGCCTGAGGAGTGGGAGATGCAAGCCAGTCTTCAGCGGTGGGCTGAACACAACCAATGTTCATTAGGGAACTGCTAAATAGATATGAGGGCAACTGCACACCTTCAGGCCAGTCTGCAGCCCCCAATTAGGTACCAGTAAACTCAGGATCTGGATTAGTCCATTCTCACTGAAATTCCTCCTTGGCCACAGACTTTTCAATGAGGCTCACTCTTTCTTTTCAGTCTCTTCAGTATGTCTGCAGAAGTAGAGGGCAGGCCTCTGCCCTCTTCCCAAAAAGCAAAAGGAAGCTGTCTTCCCAAAAAGCAAAAGGAAGCCATGTGAGGACACAGACAGAAGGGGCCATCTGCAAGCCGGGAAGAGAGCTCTCAGGGGAAACCAACCTTGATGGCACCTTGATCTTGGACTGCTGACCTCCAGAACTGTGGTCCCCCTGCCAGTTGTTCTTGGGAGTTGGTGCCACGCATGCGCAAAACTTCCTAGCCAGCATCCACATCAGACCCACTGAGTGCATGGGATGGTAGTGCCTACATAGTTCAGAGAAGAGTCTGTTACAGAGTGGTGGTAAGTGGCTTAACATAAGACACCTCTGTGAGAGGCTGGTGGTTAGTAACCACTGGAAGTTGTAGCTCCCAGAAGGCTGCCTGGATCTGGTTGGCGAAGGTTTCTGGAGTGACGGTCAGCTATAGGAGTAGCTCCAGTAGCAGCAGCAAACCTCAGCACAGCCCACGAGCCAACATTCCTGGAGGATATGAAACTGACATCAGCTTGGTTTTTAATAGCAGCAGTGACACAAGCTGCCAGCAGAAGCTTCTCTTCAGGTTTATTAAGTGGATGCCATCAGTTTTCCTTTTGAGGATGTACTGTTCCATTGAGAAGTCAAGGTTGGTACCACATACGTGGGTGGGTTCATGTTACAAGAAATTTGAGGAAATACTCTTCCTTCATTTGCAGCACATCAAGGGCTCTGGACATTGTGAACGTTTCCTTTAAGTTATAACAAGAAGCCAGAAAAATGCCGAATGATCCTGTCTGGTTAGTGAGGAAAGGCTTTTTTTTTTTTATTGTTTACTCCATTATTTTAGGGAGAAATTTGTAACAAAGTAGAAATATACCTACTAAAGAGCTTACTTGTTCCTCTATATGACACTCTCTTTTACTGAAATGTGTCTCTGTTTCTTTTCTTCAGTATAACTATGTCGTGAAGGACCCTTGAATCTTTACCCACTGATTTAGGAAATCAGATGATCTGAGAGTCAAATGTATCTCTCTGAGTTCCTGAATCAAATCATGTTGTTCTTTAATGTCCATGATTTAAAATCAGTTATCTCTATTAGCAACCCTAAAAAAATAATGCTTCCACTTGGAAAAATGAAATGCCCAGTTAAGTTCCACTAGCCATGCAACGAAACCCAGTGTCAAGCCACCTCTGCTAGAGACAATGAAGAAATGGGTAGTTTAAGTATTTGAAATCTTCTTTTGTTAATATGTGAAATCAGATAACCATCAGATCTTGTGATCTGAGAGCTCAGGCTACTTTACTGAAGGAGGAGGGGAAGGAAGAGGAGGGAAAGAAGGAACCATAAAAAGAGGATAAAGAGAAAAGAAGGGGAGGAGGGGAGGAAGAAGTAACTTTCATAATAAGAAATATTTATAGTAGAATGACATATATTTCCTTACTGTGTTATTTTTGGAGGTGATAAAACAACAATAATATGGAAAAAGAAATGTACACCATATATCTTCCTCACATGAAGAGTGATATGAGAAAAGGTATATTTTAGTAATGTGATTTAAATGTTTTGGCAGCTCAACAAATACCAAGATATTCACACTGTTAGAGAAAGGGGAAGTATATATTTATAGGCAAAAAAAAAAAAGAGACAAAAACAAATAAGAAAGGAAAGAAATCCCAATGTATGGGTTAACTAATTAGTTGAAAATACTGTAACAGCTCATTGGGCAATTTTGTAATCAGATGAGCCCAAGGGATGAATATGATCAAGTTTATAACAGTTCATTTTCTTTGACTGCAGCTGTATACAATGCCCCGGGAGATTCTAGAAGCAATGAAACTACAGCGACTCTTTTGATTAATAACATATTCAATCCTTAAAATTCATGAACAGAAATGCATGTTGTAATGCCTTGAAGGGAACCCATAGACGCTATGGAGACACGTCTGGAGAGAGAGCAAAGGAGCTAGAAACCTGCGAACGGCCATCTTAATGGCTTTGCCTTCTTAAAGATGGTCTTTTAAAAGTTTTTTTCTCTTCCCCCTCACCCCTTTGTATCTAAGTTCGAAGGGTTAAACTATGCTGTGATTGCCATAATTGTTATTTCTCCCCCAGTGATTTTATAGCCAACAAGGGAACATTAGCACCCATTGATTCCTTGTGGAAAATAATCTATTTAAAGATCCTTGCTTCAATTGAATCTTTTTTTTTTTTCCAATGCTTCACTCCATTATTTTATTATAGAGAAATCCACACCAAGGCAGAACTGGAGCTTCCAAAAAATTCACTTGCCTTTCTATTTATTCTTCCCTGGAAGTCATAAGCCTCTGTTGATAGCAGCCCAGATGGGTGCTAGGAAAGCAATTATGATTAAAAACATGATGGGAATTCAGAGAGCTGCAGGACATCTGCAAGTATCAAAGACTTTTGTAAGGGCCTAATCCCACTCATTACATGACTTTTTCTTAGGGTTGTCTATCTCTCAGTAATTACTGGGTTATTAAATACATATATTTAGCTATCTCTTTTGTAGTACACATATTCAACTATTTGAACATTATTTGATATAGGTATTTTGGTTAGACACAGAAACACCTGACATTGTCTAACAATCTCTTTCCCATCTATTGAAGGAAATTTACATGAAATGAATGTAGTAAACAAATAAAATAAGTAATATGATTTTGCTCAGCAGTGTCTGGCATGTACAATAAATGCAAATTTCCTTCTCTTCCATTCATTTTTCCTAAGGCCAAATGGGTGTCACATGGGGAGAGGAGAAAAACCTATGGTAACTGCAATATAAGCCTTTTTTTTTTAAGATTTTTATTGGGGAATTGGGGGAAGGGGAACAGACAAGTTGCTGTCGTTTTGTTCTTCAGTCTAGTTGTGGAGGACGTTGCT